GAAACAAGAATCGACTCATCCATAGCTGCACGAACAACTGCACAATAAGATCCGATATGAAACGAAAGCAATATTACTAGTATCATTATTATAATAAAGAAAGCTCCTTGAAAGTATATGTATACTAAGTAAATAAAAGAAGTTACTTGAATTTTTATTAATAAAAACGAAATGAAATAAACAAAAACAACATGAAATAAAAAGGAATTAATAATTGCGATTTATTTAATAATATTTATTCTAAAATAAAATAAAATAAAATTTTCGATGAATAATCATCAAGAAAATAATATTACTTATGTACCTCTATTTGTATTGTATTTGTATTGTACCTTGATCATATTACTGAATAGTGAAAGAGAAGTCACCTTCCCTGATTATCATGTGAAAACAAAACAACTTTCCTAAAAAATACCAAACAAAATAGAACAATAGAAAGTTCGTCCTTAATGTATGTTCTTTTATTAGAATTTACTTGAAAATTTTAAAACCACACATTTAACTTAACTTCGGCTACATACGAAGAGCATTGAAAAATAAACCTAAGTTTCCACTGTACCGTGTATAGAGTTTCGTCGATTCGTAGAATATCATGTATTATAAAATGAAAGTGTTTTACTAATATAAATCAAATACATATATATATATGATATTTTTTGAAACCCTACCTGGAAGATACGAATTGACTAATTCGAATAAGTCTTCGTTAATACGAACTTTATTGACAAAAATACTATAACTAGAATGTAACAACTTGGAAACTATAATTCTTTTCTTATAATCTAGCCTACTCAAGACATTACCCGTCAAAAGATAAATCACGCTCTCCTCAACTACCAAACGGTTTATCTCACATATACATACTTACCACGACTAATTAGTTCCAGAATCTTCTACCGCTTCGTTCAACTGTCGATCGATACATCTCTCACACACACACATGACTAACTAGTTCTGTAACCTTCTCATTCCATAATTATATATATATATATATATATATATATATATATATATATATATATACATATATAATATCTCGGATTAATTATGTGAGGTGATAAACGAAAATATGTTTCTCTGTGAACAAAGTAATAAATCTTTATTTGTTAATTAATGCTTAATTGCTAATTAATCTTACCTGTGAACAAAGAAACGACAATTTACGTTTAATATTCACATTATTTACTATATATTATCTATTATAAATATCCGTATAATCTCTCGTGCTAACTTTCTCTTCTACGTTCTATTTCATACTGCCGGTTTCTCTTCCAAATCTTAACGGCTCGATTTGTAGGTAACAAAAAGAATTTGTAAATAACAAAGGACAATGGAAGGGCGGGTCATGAGACGCGCGGGCAAATCTACCTGAAGAAAGTATACTTTTTTTACATATATATATATATGCATGTATCATCGTGTGTATGTATATATATATATATATATATATATATATACATATATATGTGTAAAATCAGGGTTTAGAGGGAATGATTGAAACAATTGATCTCACAAAATAATTTGAAGAGTATATATATATATATATATATATATGTATATGTATAATAATGCTACTAACGGTCCGTTCGACAACACAAAATCTTACAGAACGTCCTCTTTTTGTCTTTCAAGTCTTTTTTCAATCGTAACTAAGGCATTAAGGTGACTTAATGCCCGAATGTCTGCACCACACGCTTGGCAATAACAATCCTGATATATGTATACCCGATTATATATATATAGTATATACGATTTAGAGGAAAGTCGAATATAATATACAATACATAATACAATCAATTATGATTAAATGACCTAAAAATAATTACACAAATCACTATTAAAACCCTAACAAAGAATACACATTACGACACATTACGAAAATAAGATCTGAAAATCCTAAAACAAATACAACGCAATAAGCTCCACGATAGACATATCTAGATTACAATTTTATTTTCACGAATATATCTCAAATGCATCACTTTTTCGACTTGCAAATGCTACACCACAGAAATCACATGTTTAATTATCGATTAGTATATGGGAAGAATGTGTACTTTAAAAGAAATAAAATTGATTACTTGTAATCAGGAGAACGACGAACTTCTTGACAATTTGTGCCAGCATGCGCAATCCTAAATGGTCTTGATAATAATAGAAGTAAACGATATCTGTGGGTTTATCGTTGACAATCCACTATGTAGAGAGAAACTTTGCACATCAAGTAACAATTGTGATGTTTATTCAGCTTTGTTCAGTGTGTAGCAGGTATAATTAGACTATGACTTCCAGCAGTTATGACTGTTCTCTCTAGGAGAGTCGAAGAAAGAACAATGATTTCCTTTGTGTTTCCGGCGTCTTTTTGTCACCTTTGTTTATTGGTTTCCCGCGTGTGCGTTTGGTGGCGCCGAGACATGTTAGTTATGTGCTTGCCGGAAGAAGCGTAACAAGTCCCACACATATACTACTATCTTGTGTACATTTCGTACAATAGACCAAGGCCGCATTAATAGTTTGTAAATCATTTGCCTTTCCATCATATCTATTTGACTTCTTTATTCATTCCGCGAAAGGAATAGTACATCCTGTAAATTTTGTAATTGTTTTAAAAAATATCAAAATTATATAGCTTTTTATCCGTATACATTTTCAGATATGAAAGTGATTATATGTCAATTTATCTAAAAGTTGTGAATACGTTCCTAAAGCAATCATCCTCATCGCGTACATTTGTTACAACAGATAAATACATAAGAGCGAAAAATAAATCGAATAATAAATAAATTTATCTGCGTAATAAATTTCAATCTTTCTTATAAATATTTTGAAGAAATAATATTTATCTGTATCTATTCATTTTTATTTAAAAACGTCTATTAATATAGAATTTATAATTGAAATGAAATATTACGAATCGATAGAAATCGGAAATGATACGAAATGTTCGGCCGATTACTAAGTAGAAGAAAGTGATGCGACAAATTTGCAGTAAAGTAATAATTTTAAACAAATTAACAAAATAATCGGACAATAAAGGCTATTATATAAATCCTTCATTATATATATTTGTCTCGAAATTTATTGTCTTACTCTTTTGAAAGAAATTAAATCCTCTAAAATCCAATTCTTTTTTCGTGTCTACAAACAAAATTATATATTGTATGAAAGTTATATAATATTATTTCTACTAGTACAATTATACTATATACTAACTGTATTACTTACATTTACGTTTTCATATTATATATAAAAAAACTAAACAACAGAAAAAAAGAAAAGTGGTTGTGCATCTATCACATAATAAGAGTAAAATTTCTTTAGTTAATTTAATTTTATTTAATATAGTATTTCAATTTTAATCTTCCTTTTTATTCCGTGATCAGTTTCTCTATCAGCAAGTTTCAAAAGTAAGAAGATAGAACAACAGAGAGAAAGAGAGAGAGAGAGATTTTAAATAGTTATAAATTATATTAAAAATATTGAAAGTAATTTATTTATATAAAAGAATTGTTTCATTCTAATTCTATATGACGTGATCAACAGACAGGCATTGGGACTGGAGGAATGATAATAAGAATTTGAAAAACAAAGGATGAATCAGGAAGATATTAGTAAGAAATGAGAAACAGAGAATGAGAAAGGTAAAGGAGCGAAAGCTTCATCCGCTCTCTTACGCTTAAGATAAACAATAGCTCGCAACTTATGCTCTGTTTCACTTTCTATCTCTCTCTCTCTATTCCTACTTCTGTATACCTATTTCTTTATCTCACTCTCTCTCCTATTTCTGTATATTTCTCTCTTGTTTTATTCTATTTCATTCTTGATAGTAACTATATTTAATTCGTATACATCAACTATGCTTTCAAAGACACAAACAATCTTAACATTATTGCTACGTAATTTAACATCACTCTTTTTATTTCACACGTTGCTAAATAAAGAACTAATTACCTTACAGAATATTTTTATTTATTTAATCAAACTTATAACTTCTGTGAATCTATAATGTATATAAGAATATTTCTTTTCCATTAAAAAAAGCATTTTCAATAAAATAAACACTTTCTTTATTTTAAAAAACTTTTGAATCTTTTTCTTAAAAATCATGTGCTGTTTTTTAATTGAATGTAATATGTGGTCGTTTTAACTTATCTTTTAGCGAATATAATGGAAAACAATTTTATATAAATTAGTTGATTCCTAGGCATATTTAATAAAATTAACACTAAGACTTTTTCATCTTTTGATTTCCAAGTATTCTGATTATCTTGTCAGAAAATTTATTCCATTTATATACAATCACAATTTGTTGCAAATGAGGACGCTTTTTATTTGCAGCTTCCAGATTTATAATTCGTATCGCTTAAAGCTTTTTAACTTGATGCGTTGAAGCATAATAGCCATGTTCTTTTTAATCTTTTTATTCCACAATGTAAAATATATTCTTATGCGTTTTTATGTGTTTCCTTTCTTTATTTTAATTCGACTGCACATTTGGGCTCGTAATCCATCAGGTTATGACGAAGAAAATGATTGTATGTGATGGAATAACACTTAAAAACTTGTAAGTAATGCGAAAAAAGTACATAACTTAATGTGATATGTAATTTTGTTGCCAAAATCATCAACTAACAAAATTGTGATAATAATATTAGGATGCATATGACATATGAATACTATAAAGAGTGCTTTGATAGACTCATCGTAAATTGATTTGCAATAAAAAAGAAACTACAGACAGTCGCCACATGTTCGTATTAGTCACGTCATTAGAGTCTTGTATGTCACTCTAGGCACAAATTATTTTTAGATTCTTAATATAACAAATTTTTAAATTAAGCGAATATAAATATATTAAACAATTAAACAAAGTTATATATATATATATAATATCTCGGATTGCTTATAGGAAGTAATAAACGAAAATATGTTTCTCTGTGAACAAAGAAACAACAATTTACATTTATTATTCACACTGTTAAATTTTATTTCTATTATATTATAGATCTTCTTATAAGCCTCGTGTTACTTTTCTCTTCTATGTTATATTTCATACTGTCCGTCTCTCTTCCAAATCTTAACGACTTGATTTGTAGGTCATAAAAGAAATTGTAAATCATAAAGGACAATGGAAAGGCGGGTTATGAGACGCGCGGCAAATCTACCTGCAGAAAATATACTTTCTTTACATATATATATATATATATATATATATATATATATATATATAAATATATATATATAAATATATATATATAAATATATATATATATATATATATATATATATATATAGACATGTGTATATATTATATATGTACATATAGCAACAATTATCTCCTTGTAATAAACTCTAAACCTAAAGTACAAATAGATGAATAAATAAAATAAGATAGAATAAATATTATTCTTTTAATATAAATATTTGAAATAAAAAAATTCATAATGTGATCAGTAAAATGGTGATTAGTAAAAGGACAAACAAATTTTTATTAAATTTATATTAATAGAAAAATTGTGAAATTATTGGGTATGAAATTAAAAAATTTACTTACCAATATGCTCTTATAGAAGAAAATTTTTTTATTTTTTGATCATTTTCTTCAATGCACTGACTCTACTACGCGAATAGTGTAATATAAGAAGAAAAATAATTTTAAACTTTATAGGAACAAATCATAACTCTATGACTGACTGCTTTGCTCGCAGTCAATTTAACTGAATGTGATACTAAATCTTAAATCGCGAAACATGGACGAAATTAAATTAACAAACGAAGGATCCTTCTAATTCATGATTATTATATTATTCAAACGGTACAACACTCGATTCACTATCACCCGCATGATTGCATTGATTATCTGAAAAAAGAAAGAAAAATGAAATTATTAGTATAATAACTTTGTTCTTCTTAATAATGAAAGATTTTTTAACACGTTGAGCGCCACGTCAACCATCGGTGACTGACACTGGACTTTCCGTTTAGGCTGTGTCAGCCAGAGGTGGCTGACACTGAAATTACATTTATTCGCGTCATCCACCGCTGGCTAACAGCGTATAACATGATATAGAACTATATAATATTTACACTTTTTTATGGAATTGCAGAAAAATTATTCAAAATTTACTTAATTTTGACACTTTACAGGTTTAGTGGATTTCATTGAAGCACGGTAAACATAAAAACGGTTCTCCTTTACAGGCATTACAATATGTGACAACTCGCTTAGTTTGTTTCCTGGCCATTTCTCTACTATCTTTTGTTACATTTTTATCGTAACATGATTTACAATATCTTCGCACTATAATACCAGTGCTTCTAAGTGGCGCGCGTAGCCTGACGGGGACTGCCTTCTAAATCTGCGTGGCGCTCAACGTGTTAATGAAAGATTTATATAATGAAAGATTTTTTTAAAGATTTTTATAATGAAAGATTTTTTGAATTATGAAGGAAATGTTTAAAAAAGAAATTTACTTACCAGTCTTTGTTGATCTTTTGCACGATGACCTTCCTGTCCCAGAATCATGAAGAATATGAATTAGCATAAACTCTACATCGCTTATTTATATTGAATCTAATTTTATTGAATCAGATTATTTTAAATATAAATCAAACGGATTACGAATAAACACTGCTTCTACTTCATATATTATACATATAGGTGATAACCGAAAATATGTTTCTCTGTAAACAAAGTAATAAATCTTTATTTGTTAATTAATGCTTAATTGCTAATTAGTCTTACCTGTGAACAAAGAAACGACAATTTACGTTTATTATTCACGTTATTTAAATTTTATTTACTGTATATTATCTATTATAAATATCCGTATAATCTCTCCTGCTAACTTTCTCTTCTACGTTCTATTTTTTACTGCCTGTTTCTCTTCCAAATCTTAACGACTCGATTTGTGGGTAACAAAAAGAATTTGTAAATAACAAAGGACAATGGAAGGACGGGTCATGAGACGCGCGGCAAATCTACCTGAAGAAAGTATACTTTCTTTACACACACATATATATATATATATATGTGTGTGTTATATTATATAAATATATAAGCATATACGAATATTGAATTTAATATAACATCAATCGATCACAATTATATAAAACCAATAATTAGATAGTGTAAAAGCGAGAAAAGTATCAATATTATGAATATAAAGCTAGAAAATATAAGACAAAAAAGTGCACAAAAAATCGCGCATTCCGTTATCGACTGATATATTGAAAGAGAATGTACGTTAGAAAAAAATCTACTAATTACCTGTAATTATGCAAAACGACAAAACAACGTGTAAACTAGTTATAAGATCCAAGATAGCGAAGGAACCACTAAAAGAGAATCGAAATAAATTCTATAATTCGATTACATCACATTATTGCGAATATAACGCGAGTCAATGCAATTATTATTATTATAATTATTTAGTTAAAAACAATGAAAACATATAATAAAAATGTGTGAAAGTATCAAATGTAATTAATTCGAATTTTAACTACAAACAAAAATTTTCTTTTCTAATTAAATTTTAATATAAATATAGAAATATAAAATAGACTCACACATGAGTAGATACGTATGCAGAACATCCGTATGCTTTCTATATAACGGGCAAAATAATGAATAATTAATAAATCGAATAATTGGAAAGATTTATCTATTTATGCACATCTCTAATACGTTTCTACAAGTATTTAGGGAAGAATAATACTTTGTTTAATTTTTATCTATAAATATTAAATAATAGGTCATTTACAATTATAGTAATGTGTATCATAATTTGGTAATAATTAGATGGGAAATGTTCGACTTTCGAATAGGAGAAAATATATATACACAAACAACCACACACACATATACAAATATTTAAACGTGAAAGGTTCAAAATTAATACATTTGTCGTAACAACTTCGAGAATAAAAAATATTTATATGGAAAATAATTATACGCGGATGAATGAACATTTTCCATACATATTTTGTCTTCATGTTTAGGGGCTTTATTTCTCAGGTATCAAATTGATCAGGTATCAAATCAGGTATCAAATTGAATTGATTAGTTTTCTCATTTAGTTTGGACTGACAAGGTATCCGTTTAGACAGTTTTTAAATTCCTGTATCATATTTTTAATGTTTCGATATTTTAATATAATAAATCGAAAAATTACAAACTTTGTGAAGTCCATTGCACAGATGACATAATACGCATGAGCAACGATCCAATTAGTTTCTCTGCTAACGATGAATTAATCAGTTTGTATAACTTTGCGATACAGGCTGCAACCAAGTCTCGTCGTCTTGTTAATTGTAGGTAATTAGAATATTTTTTCAATTATACACCTACTTTATATATTAATCAATTGTTAAATTTCTACTTTCGCGCGTTAATGTTGACACGACATGGCATCGTTTCGTTTAACAAATATCTGCGAAAATAAAATCGGCGTCTCGGCGTTTCCTGGTGTTTCTATTTTGAATTATCTTGTCTTATATTTGTAGTGTCAGTACTTGTTTCACTTTTAACGTTTTTATTATTTTCATAAAAAATTAGTGGAAAATCGTCGTACACCAAATTGTGGCTTTCGAAAGTAATGCCATTTTCTCATCGGACTAATGCTTCATTTTTATCTCGGTTTTAAACGTAAGTAATTAGTCTTAGGGAATAAGGATGACGATATTTATATGATAGGTTTTGTGAAATTTCGGCGAAATCTTTTGCTATTTACTGTTATTTTATTTCTGTCAATTTTTGTTCTGTCAAATGTGTAATATCATGCGGAAGATACAATCCGTTCTCATTGGAGAAGTTTTTCCTAGTAATTTCTTAGCACATCTTTTTTATTAATGCGAAGTATGTTTCATGACAACTAAGTCAAATTATTGTATTTATAAGTGAACTTGACAAAGTTTAAATGTGAAGTAAAAAAATATCTAAGATAATTGATAGAACGAAGAGAACACGTACAATTTTTCGATTTTTCTTTTTCATCTTATGTTTAATTCAAATATATGTGTTCTTATACGATCCTCGTGATTGGCTAATTTTTAGCGCTGATGAAGAACGTTGAGTAGTTAGTAATCGTTGCGTAGGAGTACATTGATTGGACAGTTACGTACTTACACATTGCGCTCGTTGATTAGGCGGTAGTTGCGGGTTAATAGGATGATGTTGTTTGATCGCTCTTATGATATAATAATTATGTCTGGTGTATTTTGTCCGAACGAATTTATTTCATTTATATAGGAAGATTTAGCTGTATTTAAAAATAAATATTTGAGAAATAGGGTTTTCGATATTGCGAGGTAAGATGTGATTTAAGCTTTACGCGGCCGAGTGAGAATATTTTTCTGTTTTTTTTCCGTTCCTAGTTCCTCTTTTAGGGATGTTTGCAATTTCTTTCTAGTATTTTACCGTCCTTGTTAATGATTCGAAATGAAAAAATGAAGAGGTTTAAATTGTTTCGCCAGTTACATAAACGATAATGGTGTTAAATGTGTTGGACATATATTCATTTTCATTTATAAGAGAAAAATCTTGTTGAATTGTGCTAGCGAAATTATAATATTCATTGGTACATTATCTTTCCTTCATACTAGCTTCTTTTTTAAGTAATCGAAAGAACGCTTTTAATGATTTTTTGATCTTTTGAAATTATACAATATGTGAGATTTAATAAAAGTTTAATAAAAGATTAAAAATAAAAAAAAAAAAAAGAAAAAAACGTCTAATTCAAACGCACTTTTTATTTTTACGCACTCTTATATTTATTTTCTCCACTTTTGGCTGTGCTAGATAAGATATAGCAGTAATACAATTTTGTTCGATGACAAATGCATATAAAGTATGTACATTTGTCAATTATTATTTCAAAGTGAATAATTAGCGGGTATATATATTATATATTATTTTTAATAAAGATCAAAACACTAATTCATTTCCACATTATCTATGTGATTTTTCTCTTAGCGCTATTTTTTTATGATTTCCTCTTTAGAAGTCCACTTAACACTAAACCTACCGACATTTCATGTATACCTAATCCTACTATGACCTGTCAAATGACCGCTTCAAAAAAAGATAATTATCTTAATATAGAAAGAGATTTTATCCAATTGGATAGTGAACAAAATATTTTTTTTCTAGTTAGAAAAATTTTATTTACATTTATACATTTTCAGCACATTTTTTACAAATTACAGTATTTTGTATCGCACAATTTTCGCATACGTATTTTTTACATTTTATACAAATTTTGTTAGTCTTATTGACTTTACAATATCTTATTTGACAAGCTTTCCATCCAGATGAATCTATAGCTCTATTAGTTATTGTTTCTGATGAACTTTATTTGCTTAGCTGTCTCTCCTTTTGATATTCGGTCTCAAGTTCTTCTGCCAATTGAAATAAATTTTCTTGCCTCGATATTCCTTCACCCATCGTTTCTCTGTATTACATCCAAGCATTTATCTCGGCTAAATCTAATATATTGAAAAATACCTGTAAAGGCCATCTTTAACATTTAGATTTTACACAATATTTTCTGGCCATTTGATCGGTTTCATCTACATTTTTATTGCAAATTTTGTGCTATTGCACAATCTAATTGTCTCTGGTATACAGATGTCACTTATATCAATATTAACAAATGAATGCATTGAACTAAGTATTAATATTTTTTTATTGTTTTTAGCTTTTTATATTGTAAGAATAAAATCTTTCGATTTGTATAATATTGTTGAGAAGTGTATCGCACTCTCTTTTAATTCTACGAATAGTTCCAACAATCGTAATTTTTTTGCTTGAAGTTTACTCGCTAATAACAAGCTTGTAAAGAAATTTTCAATTGTTATATTTCTCCCATGTCCCGTATATGGTTCTACTAATTTCAAAGTTACAAACCCCCAAATTGAACCGATGATTCTCTCCCTTCCTCTTCTCTGTATATATATATAGATGAGAAAATTTAAAGATTTCGGAAACGACCATAAATGAGATTACATCATAGGAAACTCGAAGCAAGTATTACTTAATCGATCGATAAGTCATTATCGTTTATTCCACAAAGCTGATTTACCAATAGATTCGAAAGAATATCGTTGTAATATGATATTCTTATGATAACAATGGTACATTATAATAATCTTTTATTATATAAATTCAATCTTTGAACTTTCTCTCTTCCTCTCCCATAATATTCATTACAATTCGATCATGCTAATCTTCTTTTGTTTTACTAAACAATTTAATTATTTGGATAAAAAACATTTGATAAGAAGCTTAATTTAATCATATATATACGCATTAGAAATATTCAAAAATCTTGTAAGTCAGCAAAATAGATCGATTCTTCACAATCCGCATATTAAAATATATCTCCACACAGATCACAAATAAATTATTGGATTATTAATATCTGTGGAACAAACATATATACATTATAGTATGGAATAAATATCGATCCTTTCCAATAGAAATATTCACAAAAACGTATTTAAGTGATAAATCAAAGATAAATATAATATACATGAATACATATATATGTGGGATTCTAATGCTACTTTTTGGTATGCATGTGTGTGTGTATACGTATGAGATAATCCAATCGACAGTTAAACAAGGGATGGAAGATTGTCGAATTAGTTACTTGTGTGTATGTATGTATAAGATAAGTAAGTCTATCAGTAGTTGACCGAAAAGATTGAAAGTATTAGCTTTAGTTGATTGTATGTGTGTGTGTGTATGTTCGAGATAAAATGATCGAGAGTCTAATCCAGTATTATTGACTTACGTATTTCAACTGTGTTCTTCATTACACGATCAAATCATCGAAATTATTTAAAATCTGAATAATTTACTCAATGACGTAACCTGGAGAAGTTGTAACATTCATAAACGTTTCTTTTATTTGCTCCTCGGTATACATATATGTACACACATATATATATATATATATAATATCTCGGATTGCTTATAGGAGGTGATAAACGAAAATATGTT